AGGGAGAAGAAGGTATCCGTATCTCTTCATATCACACTGATAAAAAAAACAATAAACAAAATCGCAAATAAAACATTACAATAACGTAAGGTAAAGTGTTTCAGTATGTTATAAGTAGCAACTTATCCTAAAAGCTCAATGAAGAAAATATTCCATATCACTATGATTCTCCGCCGTGTATATAACGCAATTGAATTACACGATTGGCACCAAGAAAATAAAACATTAGCACATAACATCCTCTACATATTTGTACCATGCCCCTATGGATAAAGACACTTAAGTGATAAGCCTACTATCCTAATCGTGCAATTTATGGATGATCACGAAGGCCACACAGCCTGGCTCAAATAAGCATTGGTTTTCAATCTTACTGTTTTCATACCAACAAACAGCGTGGACACTGAAGATGCCGGAGACCAACAACCCAGAGTTCAAATAAACACTGTGAGAGATGATATCCTAACCAGATTGGACCAGAGAACAGAAGCACTGGTGTCACATGCACAGGTAGAGAGCCTGAATTATTGGTCACAAGGATTTCATGTTTATGAGACTGCTGGTGTTTTTCATTAAACCATTACGAAGCTCCTAGCTACACAACACCTTTTGCTGTAAAAACTGTAGAGTACTCGTAACAACACTTCAATTAATCGCCAAAAGGCACTTGATTCTGCTTCCAATCCCTACAACTCCTGTCACTCCTTAACTCCTAGATTCCCTATAATTCTGGAACAGGCATCTATATGGGACAAGGCCTCAATATGAATATTATTTGTGAAACAAGCATGGACAACATGATGCAGGAAGAAAGATAAAATATTGTATTATGTCCATTTGTTTTAACGAAGTCACAGACACAAGGTCTATTTTACTCTAGAAATAGCTGAAATAATTTTAATAAATGAACATCAAATGCTGTATGGAAGAAGAACTCGAAACTAGAGACTGAACAGAAACATCATCAGGAAACTGTTTACTGAGTCATCAAAATCAAAGCAGAAGCAGAAGTCATTTTTCCATAAGACTGCATGGATAATAAAAGTTTATTATAGCACCAATGGCGCTCCCCCCCTGCTGGCCTTTACATAGGATATGCAGACACTTCACGTTGGCTTTCACCTTCACAGACATGGAAGCTCTTGTCCAATTATATAACTGTCAACTGCATTCCTAAGAACCTGCTCAAGTGGGGCGACCCAGTGGGCTTTAAAGATGTGTTACACATCCAAAGAACTTTGATAAAAACAGACTGACGTCTAAATGAGACCAGTGTTTCATCTGGTCAAACGTGTAGCCACACCCGGACCCCAGTTCAAAGGGATTGCATTTAATTGGCGCTCAGCGTTTAATTGAAGTTTTACAGTATACACTAACTGTTCCACAGTAATAACCCATAATCCACTCAAGGTACCTGGATACTGCGGTACACATTACAGCATCGTACATTATAAAACCTATCCAATTAATACAAAGTGTAACTAATAAGAGTGTTTGTGAGTCACATGGATCCCGTAAGAGACGCTTCCATTGTTAGCACTTATTCTCTGGTACCTTGCAGATGATGAAGAAAGTGGTGTGCGGTTAGGCACGAGAAACTAAAACCTGTGGACTTTTTGCACTGTAAGTCATATGAGGTATTCCTGGCTTTGGTGATTTTAAACACCAACCCCATTTGGTTACATAACAAGAGGATAGCACTGTTTCATTACACAAAGAACAACAAAATACTATTAAAGCTAAAATATTTTTTTGGATTTTTTTAGCTTTTGGTAGAAAATAAATATATGCTTGAGCTGAGCTAATAAGAAGGGCTAAAACAGCTATCACTGCTAACAGTTTGAGTTTAGATCAACATACCGTGAAGAAGAGCACCTAGGAGGAGCCAGAGGAACCTGATTGTTTCACAGATTATCTGTCTCATGTACTACTGTCAGGATATAGTGAAAGTTTCAGAAAATACAACAAAAAGTATTTTTTTAAGTTACCTACTGTAGCTTTAATTAGTATCATCGGTAACACCTGCTACTATTTCATGTCAGTGAAAAAAAGTCCATCCAGGAAGTTTTGAGGTTGCGAACAAAACAATTAACACAAATTTAACCGATCTCTGTGAATTCTGCGTGACCTTGCAATTTTGTCCAATCACAGCAACATTTCCACAAATTTGGCAAATTACTGTTGTTTCCTGCAACTTTCACTAATCATAGCAATGTTGAACCGTACATCACCAAACTAATTTTATTCTCACTGGAATAAGTTGCCTCCTATTTTTTGTTTTTTATACAAAACGATTGCAATCCTTCTCGCTATTTCATTGCATACAAGTGCTAAACTAAACTAAAAACATTGCACCATGCATTGCAGTTTGTTAGAAAAGCTGCAGTGAAATCAGTAGAAGAAAAGCTTCAGCTTGATCATATTGCTACTGTTTCTTAGCTTGTAGTTTTTAATCAGCAATTCAAATTGATGAAGGTGGTATCCAGTTTGTTGGCAGGACAGGTTGTCAGGGTTTTCCATGCGAGCTTCAGAGCTCCTTATCTTACTGCTGTCTGAGGGCCTTCTCATATTTGGGCTACCTGAAGAGGTTCTTTGATAACGTTTTGTTTTATGGGTCTTTCATTTGCTAATAATTTCCATGGACGTTTCTCAAAAAATTTTGTTTTATTTGGTACTAATTAAGGGAAAAATATGTGTTTCTTTGAAAGATAGGCTTTATTTAAACCCAGATAGACATTAATGCTCCAGTGTGTAATATTTAGGAGGATCTATTGGCCGAATTGGAATATAATATTCATAGTTATGTTATCATTAGTGTGTAATCACCTTAAAATAAGAATTGTTGGGTTGTTTACCTTAGAATGAGCCGTTTTTATCTCGGAGGGAGTCAAAGGTCACATTTTTGCATGTTCAGCTGAACTGCTGTGCACTGACTACAAAAAAGACTTGATTACACCAGAAATTACTTTGAATTAAATAATTGGAAGTCTATAAACTCAATGTTGTCTCTATTCCCCCATAATTAAAACCAAATAAAATAGTTCTTTGGAGGAAATGTCTTGGAAATTATTAAGAAATTTTAGATTTAAAGGTGCTGTAAGTGAAATCTGCATTTTGGCTAACTTCCTGTCCATTCTTGCAGTCAGCAGTCCCCTTTCTCCTCCCTACGTCACCACACTGATATTCTGTTGCCCTTGAGGACCACCTCTATGTGGACTCTCTCCTGGTTGGATAAAGTGGGAACACGATACTAGAAAATGTTTTCTCTGTTTTACTGCAGAAAGTAGGGACCAGTAGAGCCCTGTTACTGACTGGACACTGTATATCAGTGACGGCTGTCAGAATGTAGAGCTATATAACACTTATTTTAACAAAAAAAAATCGCTAACAGCACCTTTTAATAAAGCATCTTCAAGAGTTCAGAACATTTGATCAGTCCACACAAAATGTGAACTCCACACATTGGTTAATGAATATGATTGGTTGTCACATCTGTGGTTTGATAGTATGAACACAGTAGACTACGTATCAGCGTAAAAACAAGTAATAAAAACATTTATATACTTCACATAAATGCAATCATTTGAGCCCATGGTGTTGATGTTGATGTTGAAAACATACGTGTGGTGAAAGCATTGTTCTGAGCCTTGCTGTTGCAATATCCAGTCCCTCCAGGAAGTTATGATGTTGCGATCGCAACAAATAACGCATATTCCACTAAGACTTGTGAATTCTAAGCAATCTTACAATTTTGTCCGATTGTCATTGCAACTTTATGCAAATTTGAAAAGTAACCAGTTCCATTAATTGTAGCAATCCCCGCACAAAACGTTGAGACATATGTCACCAAACTACGAGCGATTTTATTATCACTGGAACACGTCTTCAATTTTAATGAGTCATACAAAAAATTTAAACCTTTTTGCAGTTTTTACTTTTTCCAGCGTTTCATTAATTCCTAAAAAAAACTTGTAACATTGCTCGCATTTAAAAGAAAAAAAAAAAAAAAAAAGCTGAAATCAGGCATTTTAGGCCGCAAAAATCCCCTCCAAAAGCCTATGAAATCCTGGAGGGACTGATTATGACTTGACTGCTTTTCCAAAGTAAATGCATAAAGAGGAAGTGTTCTTCTGTGTAAACCATTGCCATATAAAAAATGGACATTGCATCTCCACTTCCCCCCCTCTTTTTATATCTTCAAATAACTAATTAAACCCAAACACAAATGAACACTTGAACAAACATCAGCGCGATAAGAACTACTTAACATGGAGACAGCAGGCTTCATAACCTATACTGCTGTCAGCCACCAGAGGGTGATGCAGATGTTTTGGCTTTACTATCGGAGAGCTGGCATGTCATCCATTTTTCTATATGATTGTGTAAACACACAAGTGTCTTTTGTGTTTACAACAATAGCACACTTCCTGTATGTGATGAGAACAAACCTGCAGTAACCCCAGGGACAAAACCTGGTGCAGACTCTAGTGCTTTGGGAACCACATCTCAAAAGCTCTGAAAGAAAATAATTTTAACTCAAGGCCCGCTGACTAGCTCTTTGGCTTTTGGCTTTTCAGACAAGTCTCTTAAAGCTGCAGTAGATAACTAAAAATTGCTTTTTGTTGTATTTTCTGAAACTTTCACTATATCCTGACAGTAGAACATGAGACAGATAATCTATGGTATTTGTAAGAATCCACCGGGCCTGAATGAAAACAACCAATCAGAGCCAAGAAAGATAAAAAGATGTCATAATGACGTGAATTTGATTGACTGAATTTCCCATTACACCCATTACATAGAGCTTGTCTTTCTTTAAGATTGTTGCATTCTGGGTAGGATGTAGATGTGTGATGTAACTTCGGTATTGATGTGGGGTAGAGGTTACAGAGCAAGCTCTATTTCTGTCTTTGTTATTTGCTTTATTTTCCTGAGAAAAGAAACGCATCTCCAACGTGCTTTATTCTAAACACAAATCAGAAAATTGACAATTCTTGCCAATGAAAGTAATGATCCGCGGTAAGTTTTGATTAACTAACACTCCAGAGAGACAGACAGAACTGGATTAAAGCTGCAGTAGGTAACTTCTATAAAAATAACTTTTTACATATTTGCTGAAACTTTCACTATATCCTGACAGTAGAACATGTACTACTGTCAGGATATAGTAAAATGAAGTTACCCACTGCAGCTTTAAATCTTTTTCTTGCACATGTTGAAAAAAAAGCAGTTGAGAAGTTAAAATGCCAGTAAGGCTGTGTTAGAAAAAGACAAATCCTCTATTAAAATAATCATTTAAAAATCAAAAGAGGTTTGGGTTAAATATCCAAACATTTAATCAATTTATTTTTATATCACAATATAAATTAGCAGAAACATTTCATCCATACTAAAACCACTGATGATCCATTTATCACCCCAGTCTGCATAATGTGCATTTTGTTAAGCGACACTAACAGAAAAATATACACATCATCCCATTCATAAAAGATGTTTATTCTGACACTTAAATACAAACAATATGTACTAAAGAACTGAATTTGGCTACGTTAGAATATTGTTATTTTTAATTTGTAGTTCTTTTATTGTAAAGATGTGCTGCTCTTGTAATGTTGACTGTATATTCAAATAAAATAAAGAAATGGCATTGTCATATTTATACAAACTTTGTTGCTACCAGTTGATACATGAATCTCTTTCTGGAGACCTCACTTTACTATGACTTTCTACATTGGTTTAGTCATGCTTTATTTGCTAAATTGAATGTATAGAAATGCACCATTATGTATCTACACAACACATTTATACAATAGGTATCACAATACAATTCAATTCAGTATAGTCAATATATTGAAAATTTCTTTTCAAATCTAATTTTAGGAAAGCTGTCGTATAGAGCAGTGGTTCCCAACCTTTTTCCTTTTGTTTTTTAACTGATGAACAAACAGTTAAGAAGAAGAAGATATACTTTATTGATGCCCTAGGGGGAAATTCTTTTTTTATACACACACACACGCAGGCTGAAATGCACGCACATGTGGACATGCAAAGGGGAGAGATGGTGGAGTGATGGGGCTGCCACGTTACCAGCGTCCCAGGTTTCGGGGTTAAGTTGCCTTGCTCAAGGGCACCTCGGCAGTGCACAGGAGGTGACACTGGCACCTCTCCAGCTACCAGTCCACACTCCATACCGACTCTC